CCGAAGTTAACGTTTGTTTTTTTTTCATTGGTTAAGAGTTTTGAGCTTCTAATCCACCTTGCCTATTACCTTTTTAAAAAACTATTTGTAAGCATAAGTTATTTGCAAAAATTGCTTAAAGCTATTTTTTTGGGAAATTTAAAAACCAAATCATAATATTCATATACTCATATGTATTACCCTATGAATTATAAATAGATCCATGATTTTTAGTTTTATGTCAAAATTCAACCTTTATACATATTAAATATAAGAATACAAAAGCCTCATTTAAAATTCGTTGGGCTTCGCATAAAAGGTCGCCGGGCATATTAATGGCGCAACTGCGGCAAGTTACGGCAGCTAAACCGGAAATAACGCCAAAGTTAGCTCCAAATAATGTAAGCTTTATAAAAAATTATAAAATCCCCTCAAAATCACATAATTTTCTACATATGAACATATGCCGAGGCAGCTATCGCATTAACAACGTTTAAATGGCCTTCACACAATTTCCAGACACAATGACATATTAGCCCGTTGCGTAAAGCAATTCGTAATTGCTTCCCCACACGCGTAGCCACCTACCCGACATCAGTACAATAAACTAACAACAATAAATATGTGTACGTAATGTCACACCCCGTGGCGTCGCCGAGCAGGAGCACAATTCACCTGTGAGTACCAGTGACTAACCAATGGAACGCACATACCACCACTACACTTACATGTGTGTGTGTGTGCGATAGCGATAAAGACAATCAACGCATGAGGCCTAAAATGCACTCCTGAGAACTCTAACAAGCGAGTAAATCAAAAACCAAAAGCAACAACACAAATAAACGACGAAACTAATAGAAAACTGTCAAAAAGAAGCAACAAGCAGGGCAATAAATTCGCTGTTGACGCAGCAAAAACAATATATTTATATAGATATGTATGTATGTGCGCTGACTGGCAAGTTGACTCCATGCATGCGCTGTGGCATCCAACGGGCGGTTGAACAATCAGCGGAGCATCAAAGTGAACGCCACACGCGTTTATGGCACCACCGCAGTCAACCGTATTCAACACACAAGTAAACCTATTAGTAAATACCAAAAGTATGTATGTATGTACAAATATATATGCATACATCTAGATTTTCATACAATTAGTTGGCGGGGGGAGCATTAAAGTCGCGTGAGTACAATAAATGCCCACCACTTGAGGTTTCGGTAGTTCGTCGATCAGTTGGTATGATTTGAGTAGCGCCTCTCCTACGATAATACTGTGTGAGTGCGTGCGCTGTTAAGAGAGCGAATAAAGAGTATATGAAATTTAATAAAGATATAGTTCCATTATATGAGTGGATTAGGAAGAGTTCAAAAGCTTCGAAGAGGAAAAAATGGATAGGAAGTAAAATTATACACACACATTCATATAGACTTGTGAATTGCTAAAAATCAATAATTAAAGTGACATAAAATCGTCGTGAAATAGGAAAAGTACCGTAAAGCCCAGCTAAGAAGAATAAGTAGAATAAATGATAAAATATATTAAGAAATCTTTATCAAAGCAAGAAAGAACATTAGTTTTACAAATCGATTTTTTTGCCTAAAGTACACTTATTAATACTGTGGAATACTGGAAAACAATTATTTTCATGTCCAGTCAGAAGCATATGGAAATTGTAAACGTTTAAAAAAATTAAAACTTCGCCAAGCAAATCATAGAAACAACGAATATTAAGTACTCTTTGCTACAAACATCTACCAATAATCAGTTTAGGATATAATATCCAGAAAAACATCTTGAACCGATATCTGGAGAATGCTACAAAATCCCTCGAATAAGTGATTATCTCAAAAGAGGGACCCTCACTAATCAATAATTCAGTTCTCGGAATTCAAAAATCCCCATTTTAACAAATTGTTTACTTGAATATTTATGACACACCAAATCAACCAAAAGTTGGAGTCAATATTTCGCTTTTTAAGAATTTTAACTATGAATATTTGTTAATGACTTACTTCCATGTGTGTTTGAAAGTAAGTTTCTTTTTGAATTTTTTTTTTATAGCTAATAAGTGTTCTACTACTCATTGGGCTATGACTAAAGATACATCTCTAAACAATAGACGAAAACTAATATTATAAAAGAAATTTTTTGCTAAACATATATATTAATATAATAGCAAGGCCTTTCTATAGAATATATTAAGCAATTTTTTTTTTTACTTTTTATGTCATTTTTATAATAGTAAGCTGGTGTTTACAAACAAAAATTTAATTTTTTTGTATTTTTTTTTTATAAATTGCTTATTAAACACATCAACGGCTTTTTGGTACAATTTCTTTAAGAGGATTCCCCCCACTTTGTATGCACAAGGCACAAAGCACACGGCGCACTGCACACTCAGCGACAAGCCACACTACCCCAAATGGCGCTTATTAGTTATTAAAATACTAACACAAAGTCACGTTAACTTTCGTATGAATCATCCACAAAAACCAAAGTACAAAAACAAGTGCCAGCAGAAAACCCATACAAAGAGAGTGGACCCCACAATGCTCACACTCAAATTGAGCATAAAATCACTCAATTTGCACAACAACAAATACTCACATCGACTGAGCGACTGTCGACTTGAGCGTTGTGGAGTGGTGTCCCAGTACGTCACTCACTTGGACGCTATAATTACCAACTCGTTTGACCACCTACACATATACATATGCACACACATCGTCTAAATTGCGGCGCTTATGCGCACTGCCGAGGTAAGTCCGCGCGTCACACATACAACATTTGCGCTCGACACGTCACGTCATAGCGCCCCAACGCACACCGCTAAATTACGCTCACCCGCACGCTAGCGCACACACAACACGAGCGCTAAACGATTGAAGTGAGCAAGCGAGCAAGCGAGCAGGCAGGCAGTCAGGCCGACAGCCAGACAGACACACGTTCCATACCGTTGGACGATCGTATATTTTGGTCGTGTGGCGACTGGCTGCGCTTGCTTTAGCACCTATAAACGCACACACATACATACGTATGCTCAATTGTGACTAGGTATGTGGTATATGTCGTGCGGTCGTGCCTCACCTCTGATCTCTGCACCTCGGCGCGCTGCCTCTTCGCTAGCTTACCTGTGTGCGCTCAGGCTGCCGCATAGCAAATTTCAACAATGCTCCCGTGGTCGCTGCCGTCGCCTACATCTCCACTGCTCTTCGCTGCCTTAACCGCACACAACCCTGTGTGACACCACCGTGATTTAGCCAAACGAACCTGTCGATCAAGCGTCAGTTGTGCACTGTGTGCCAAACGCGATACATATATACATACAACAACTATAAACATTTGCACTACCAACACCAACAGAAGACACCCATACCAACGCCAGCAGCGCAATTTGCCAAAGCAGTCGTTGTAATCAGCTCCTAAAAATTCCGTAACACACACACACATATACGCGCGCAAACACACACACACGAACAACATAAATAGAACCCAAACGCGCAGCGCTAAATACCCAGCAACCGAATCAAGGCGCGCGCAGGCAGCAACCAAGCAAGCAAGCAGACAAACAAACAAGCAACAACAACAAGCCACTGGCAGTGGTAGCAATCGAGTCTGGGCCGACCAGTTGACGAGTCTTTTAATCGCACTGCGACTAGAACATTGAATTCATTCGCTGAACGAACGTCGTGGTGAACGCAAGAGACTCGGTCACAAGCGGAACTCGCAAGCTAACGGTCGACGTCTGACAAAAGAAAAGTAGATATTTACGTTAAGTGAACAGAAGCAGATATCCAATAAAAAAGTCAAGCGAAATACGTCGCGTCAAATGAAAGTGAATTTTATTGAAAACTAATTGACTATTAACACTTTTTGGTGGATTTTATAAAAAAAAAATTAAACAACAAATAAATAAATTGTGAAATTATACAAAATTTGTATAAAAAGAAGTGAAAGAAAAAACTGAAAGTGAAATTTATAAATAAAAAATTTGACTCAGAAGACAAAAGTAATTGCAAAAGCAAAAACAAATTGTGATAACCATAAAGTAATTTGTGATTAGTTTACAACTCAACTCAACTAAAATATGGTAACAGGAGTAGCTGGCCCAAATATGACAGCAAACGTTATTGGAGCGCCGGTGACAGCGCTGAAAGATGCGCCAGCAGTCAAAAGCGATCGTCGGGTAAGTTTCCAAACAGCAAGCAAAAAAATATAAAGTCATAAATTAAGCAAGCCTGAGCCGCGCGTGTCCGCACTTCATACAACAAGCAATACACCCACCTGCCGCACTGCGCCCATTTGTGGCGCTGACTGTGGTCAACGGCGTTGACTTTTGTCGCCATTTCAGGCAAACGATGTTACGGCACGCTACATTTGCCACCTCTCACGCATTGCTGCGCACCACCATGCACACATAGCGGCATTTAGCTAGAATTAGACCCACTCAAATGCTGGTTTGCCCCAAATCCAAATCCGGCGCGTGCGGCCCACAAGCGAATCGGCACCAACCCAGACAACGCGCCGTATTTGTGCCTATTTTTGTTTTGCATTCTTTTATTGTTGTTATTGGAGTTTTTACGTTTTCATTCACAATATCGTGAGTGTTGTGTTATTGTTGTAGCGCACATTTAACGTGCGACGTTAGTTGGCGTAAATGGTGCCTAATTTTGGGAAAGTCAACTTATATCAACCGCCAGCGCTACCGCTTACGGCAAAGTCCAATACGCTGTTGTGGTGTCTGTTCCAAAAATGTTCATTGGCGGTGGCGGACGCCAACTACGTACTGTTAGTTTCCTACGCGTCTGTGACACCAGCAAGCAGCTGGGCGGCTTTTCATTCAAACCATGAATGGCTGCAACGTAATTGGAACAATTTTTTTTTTGATGACTTCACAGCAACAAACACGCTTGTTGACTGTCGTGTGACGCCTTCCACTCATTGCAAGCATTATTCATGTGTCTGTTTTTGGACATTGTTTGTTTTGGAAGATTGCTTTATGGGCGTGTGAGTGGGGGTTGTACGATTTTGGCTGAAAAGCGCACATATTGTGGAAATTAAAAAAATTAAAGAAGTATCGCAATTTCATAAGAAAATGCAGCATTAGATAATTATTAAAGTTCTGCGCGAATATCGCCTTTCTCGCGCGACCTTGCGCACCGCGCACATTCTTGCGTTGCACGAACCAATCATAGGCGCCTTGAAATTTTCACGCAGCGCGTTAATTTTTCTTCGGCACTGTGCGCTGTATAGGCCTATGGCGGCCTCTAGCAAATTTAGTTCAACTTAAACGCACATTCATAAATACCGCAATAAAGTCTGTATGTGTGCGCGTGCGTATTTTTAAATAATGCCCTGCTATTTTTGGCCATTTCTGAAATTGGTCAATCAAGTGTGTGCACAAGTCACATAACAATACAAACTTTGCGCGTCGCGCTTTCATTAAGCGACTACAAATTTCACTACACCTTATTGTTGTTTGCGCATTTTTTTGGCGGCACTTAAAGGCATTTATCGCCACAGTGGCGGTCGTTAGACATTGTCGGCGCAGTGGAGCTGTTACGTTTAGCGGATGGCGTTGGTGTTGGTGTTGGCGCACGGCGGCGACGCGCAAATACGCAAGGCATTTCATTTCGGACGTGCAGGCGTTTTATTTTTAGTCGCCAACACATTCACCACACTTAAAATAACGCACGCGATTGTCGCCGCCTCGCCACCGTGCCATCGCTTGTTGGCCGAGTGCCATAATTGCGGCCACGCTATGTATCCAATTAAAGCGCGTACCATGCAAGGCGTGCGCGAACGTGCGCCACACTGCCAATGGCATTAATGGATGCAGCGCAGTCACATTACCGACAGCTGTACAAGCCAAAACAAGCGCGCGCACTTGTGGAGGTGGTGCGCGGTCAAAGCGACGCGACGCTCAGTGAGGACCATTGCGCTGCACACCCGCGTTGTGTATTACGCGTGTGGCAAATGTACGTGGCGACACAGTTAGACTTTTTATAAGTAGACATATATATATATAATTATCTCACCTCTTTGTACAAACAATTTGCCCGCTTTACTTGACAGCTGCAAAAAATGCAACTTTTCAATTTAAGTCAAAACGACTAATGAATTTTTTATTGTTTTTATTACCTTTACAGTCGAACAAGCCGATTATGGAAAAACGCCGACGCGCCCGCATTAACAATTGCCTAAACGAGCTGAAAACGCTGATTCTGGACGCCACAAAGAAAGACGTAAGTACAACTATACATATATATGATATACGTAACGCCTACCCTTAACCCACACTCTCCAAACATCCGCTCATCGCAAACTTCATGCCATTTTGGTCGATAACGTAATTTGTAGATCTTGCAACAAACGCATATTTTTTCTGTCTCGCCGACTCACCAACTACAAACCAAATTGCAAGCAAAATAAATTAATTTTGATTTTCTTGTTTTTTGCTCTCTTCCTTTTCAATAGCCCGCGCGTCACTCCAAATTAGAAAAGGCCGATATTTTGGAGAAGACTGTCAAGCACTTGCAAGAACTGCAGCGCCAACAGTCCGCCATGCAGCAAGCTGCCGACCCTAAGGTCATCAATAAATTCAAAGCCGGCTTTGCCGACTGCGCCAACGAAGTGAGTCGTTTCCCCGGTTTGGATCCGGCTGTGAAGCGTCGCCTGCTGCAGCATCTGAGCAATTGTATTAACGGTGTTAAAACCGAGTTGCATCAACATCAACGTCAGTTGGCAAGCGCCAGCGCGCAAATGTTGCCCTCACCGCCCAGCTCACCCGAGCAGGATCAACATCATTTGCAACAACAACAGCATGTTGCTGCTGCTGCCGCTGCCGCAGCGGCCAGCGGTCATCCTTTTCTTGTGGGCACCCAACTGCAACACACAATGAATGGTTATTTCCTACCTAATGGCATGCAAGTGATACCCACCAAATTGCCAAATGGCAGCATAGCGCTGGTATTGCCACAACAACAACAACATCACCTACAACAACAGCAACAAGCAGCGCAAGCGCAACAGCAGGCCGCACACATGCAGCAGCAAGCACAACAACAATTGACCGCTGCGCAGGCTGCTGCCCTAATGTCAATGCCCACCCGCACCGCCTCGACAAGCTCAGCTTCTTCGCACAGCTCATCCGTCTACGAGCGCACACTCTGTTCGCCCGCTAACAGCGTTGCGCATTATGCGCCGCCAAGCCCAGCCAACTCATATGAGGCAATGGATTGCAAACCCTCAGTCATACAGCATGCACCTACACTATCACAACAGCAACAACAATTAAACCAACAACCACTTTCACTGGTAATCAAAAAGGATATCAAAGTAGAAGATGAGCAACCTTGGCGACCGTGGTGAAGTGTTCCCCCATTTGGTGAATCACTCAAGTGACTGATAAACGCCCCCTCGTAGTAAAATCGTGGGGCGTTTAAAATATATACCAAAGCGGCGTATTAGTGGCAGGTGTAGCAGACAGAGCTTTCAACAGCAATTGGCACTTCTCGGAAGACATTGGGAAGTTCATGCTAGTTGTTTATTTGCTTGACAAATATGGAAACTGCTTAAGCGCCCTAGCGATGCGACGATAGCCACATCGTACACTCATTCGTAACCATTTCGCGCGCTTGCCTTGTGTAAATGACGTTGAAGTTGAAAATATCGCGCGCTACAAAGTGATCTCAATAGCAGCAGCAGTCGCGCGGCAGTAGCAGGCGCAACAGTGAGTGTGACGCAGTTGTGTTGCCGTGTGCAATAAAAAAGAAAATCACAAAAGCACTGGGAAAGCATTGAACGACAGCACTTAATTGACTACCTCAGCAATACAGGGGCGTATCGCGGTTAGCCGCACCTCAGGGGCGCATCATTTGAATTTCACTAAGCTATCTCATTGGAGTATTACAAGTATATATATATAGAAAGAGAGTAACTAATAATTGGCGAATCGTCAAAGTTCGTAGTCACTAATAATTTAAAAAAACATATTTTTATAAGAAAATCTAGTTTATATTGCTTTTACAATAATTATACTTTTTAATTACATTTTCATTTCTCATTTTAAGTCACATGCACTTATATACTAATATTCGTGTCAACACTTGTGAAAAGTTAACAGAAATGACAAAACAATGAAATCTTATAGGTCTTCCCAACTTGTAAAGTAGTTTGCACTTAATGAATTTACATTATGTGCAAAAAGTATATTTAATTATAATTTTATTTAATTTTAAAATTAGTCGTAAGTTATTTATGTAGTTTATAAGAATTTCAAATTTTTCAAAAAGAATAAGTGAAAAAAGTAATACCTGAAAGAAAAAATACTAAATAAAACAAAAGATAATAAAACTGAATTTTATCTATTGAAACTAAAAAGAACTCTTTTATTTGGATATATGGCTAATATTAGTTTGGAGTAAAGAAATATCTTGGAATGTAAGTGAGAAAAACTCGTCCAAGGTGGGCGCATTTTGTGAAAAAATTACTGAAAATGTATTTAAATGTAGACAAATAATTGCTGCGACGGCAATAGTTTATTACCCAATAAAAGAGCCAAATTCTATCGCTGGTGAACAGCCGATGGTTCAAGTTCACATGTGACCCGAGATAAAGTCACTTTAACACGATCTTATATAGGTGTGGTCCAATAACGATTTAGCCTTACCGCCCTACCTGGTTGGCGCCTATATCAAAACAAAAATTTTCTATTATGTGGTTTCAGAAAGTTGCCGGAAATTGTTGGCCCACAATTCCGGCCGGTTGCGACGGATATTTTCGCGCAAACGCCTCAAAAATAATACTCTTTATTGACCGTCTGTCCCGTTCGAACAAATTCATGATGAACCAAACCGCGAATATCGAAAAAAAAAGTTCGGAAACTTTCTGGTCTTAAGTACAGCATGTTGCTACAGAACGAAACACGTTGAATACCATCGATTAACCACCGTATTCACCGGATTTGACCCCGTCCGACTTTTATTTGTTTCCAAAACTCAAGTTACCACTCCGTGGAACACGTTTCGACTCGATTGAGACCATAAAAGAAAATTCGCAGAGGGAACTGAAGGTGATCCCGGACCCGGAAATACAAGGCATGTTTCGATGAAGAAAGAGGTGTCACATATGTATCGCTTCAGTAGGAGCATATTTTGAAGGCGACAAAATAAATATTGATGAAGATTAATACTTTTCGTGTTATTTACAATATTCGGAAACTTTCTGGTCTTAAATATGTCGTCGACGATTACAATCAAAAGTTCAGCCGAATCAAACTCGTAGTTTTGTTTTGAGCGCCTATAAAAAAGATCATATCGGTTGAGTTTTAAAAAAGAGCTATAACGGTCGCGTATTCGCAGATCGCTGATTAAACGTTCGCGAGATAGTTCGGATAATAGGCGGAGACAGGGACCAAGGAACCGTCGAAACAATGAAATACATTGTTAAAGACGACCGTCTCCCGGGATTGCGATTCACCGAACTCCGACGTCATCATCGCAAATCTGTCGAATTAGTTACGAACGACTAATCCATCCACCGAGTTCTTCAGATTGGTTCCGATGCGACTTTTATGTTTCCAACTTGGAAAAATCACGCGCAGGGCTGATATGTGATTCAAATGAGGAGTTTATTGGAAGAATTAAGCCAGGACCAAATTATAGTTTTGGTAAACTTTTAATTAATAGGGAAAAATACGATACACTAATATATTGTAACGTCGCTACCACATCGTGTTATTCGGTAGTAATCGTGTGCTTCGTATTATATATTTCCTTCTATCCTTTACCTTTTTTTATATAATATTATATAAAGTTTGAAAAATTATTTAGACATCGGGTCCATCTCACATATCCAGCATAGTTCTTTACAGAGGTTATAAGATCCGAATTCCTTTGCCATTTCTAACTCGAGCTAACCAGATTGTTTTCAAATCGTCTTAGCAGAGCTTTTTTTGTACTAAACCTAGAGGTTTACTACACCTAAATACACTAATGTTATGTATTATGAAATATACTAAGTACTTATCTGTATTCGCATTGTCTGCTGTTAACTTCAGACGTTGCAACTGACCGCGAAACCATTATGCTCTTGAGCTTTAAACGCTAAACCCCAAATTATTTATATACCATAAACTTAAATATTTTGCTGCTTAGTTATATAGAAATGTCAAAAACGCTCTACAAAATATAAAACAAATAGAAACGCTCTCGAGGTCTATGCGACCGCATTGAAGCGTTCTTTCGAATTTTTTATATACATATGTTAGTAGGTACGAACATTGTCGGTCGACAGTCGGCGGTCACGGTGTGTCGCGTCGCAACGCCTAGTTTAAGCCAAGTTCATTAACTGACATTCCAAGTTGATAGCGCAGTTTTTTGCACACGCGCGTGTACCGTCACCGCCGTCAAAACAAAAATAACAAAATAAAATAAAATCAGAAAACAACAATAGCAATAGCAAAGCATTTAACAAGATAATTAAATGTTAAAGCGTCACATCTCCGCGCGCGTCCCCGTCTGATTAGTGGCCAAGTCATTGCCAATCATTGCCGTTGCGCTGCGGCTGCAATTCGCATCGGCACGGTGTCGCTTTGGTGTGAATGCGAGTATTTAAAATTCAAATTACATTTGAAATTATGAAAATAATTCGCATCACGTTTAGATGGGTCTTCGGCGCTTTACTTTTAAAGCAGCGAGACATTAACGCGGCTTAATAAACAAAGTTCCAACGACGCGATATAAAGTCTATTTGACTATATAGTATGTATATACGAGTATGTATATATACATGGGTATTAATTTGATTTTGAACATTATGTGTATCATTTGATAACGTACAAAAACAATGATAACAAATACATGTATGAATATTAAAATAATGCCGTGCCGAAAAGCGCATGCAAAAAATGCTTGATAATAAAACGCATGACACGTGTTCCAGTTAAGTAAACCGGGTAGCATTTATCAGTAGAGTGAGAAGAGATTGAAACCACAGCAGGGTCTACTTAACAAAACTATGTGAGGAATATTTTCTTACTATCCCCATAACAAACAAAAAACCGCATCATGCGACTCTTATCAAATTGATTTAAAGAAGATAAGTTAATTAATGTGAACGAATCGGGGTTATATCTTGAGGGCGACTGCTCACTATCATTTATATTCAAAACTCAAAACAAGTAAAGATTTTGGAATCGCAAGAAGTAATTTGCTAAAAATCATTAACTGCCTCCGAGTCGAAATGATGAGATATTTACTTTAATCAGAAATGATAATAATGAGATTACAACAATTTCGTCCCTTTGTTTTTTATAACGAAGTTGTAACACACAGAAAGAATTGTCGGAGAACCTTTAAAATACAAGCATAGGTATATAAAAATGATCAATCTGATTTTGCACACGTCTTTTTCTCCCTAAGAAAGTGCTCATTTGTCGAGACTGGTGATATCGGATGACTATAGCATATATATAGCTGACGTACAAACTGAACAATCCAAATCAACTTTTACATCATCATCAACATGTAACAAGATATCTTCACAAAATTCGGCACGGATTGATATCCAAAGCAACGCTACAATATCCAAATAAATTTTTCAGATCGGACCACTATTCGAATTAGAAATTTACTTTAAATCTCAGAACGTTGCTTAATCAGATAAATTTTAGTTATATTTTAAATAACCATACACTAAGAATTTCTTCTGGAAAATTTCTCTCGAAATCTTCTGGCGGTTCTGAGAGGACATGGTATAGTGTGGGGATTTTAGTCCCGGTGTTTTCACAATGGGCCTTCTTAAAGCTTGAGTGCGACGTCAAACATCCGCCCTAACTACCTAACTACACAAAGTACCAATTAATAATTTTGACAACGCTTTAAATTCTATAGAAAAAAATTGGTTGTTATTTTTACACTTAAGCTGCTAAAAATAAAAATAAACGGAATTCAAACACGCATAATAATTAACGATTTTCATTGTACGTTTGTATGTATGAATGTGAGTATACATATATCGGATCATTAAAGTATAGCAGTGTTTTTTTTTTTTGAAAATTTACTGCGTAAACTCATAATGTAATAATGATTTTAATAAAAACTTGTTCGTTTTGGGTACACACCACACAAATGTTATACATGTACATACATACATGCATATGGAATTATTTAAATATTGCGGAGCGCTCACGAAAAACAAAACGTTTGTACGCGTGACCTTAACAGTCATGGCACTGGCAAAATAGCTACACTTCAATGAGTCACGTGTTGCTGTTGACTTTTATGCTTGACGACACAAAAAAACTGCGCAAACGAGAGTAGTATGGAGTGAAAATACAGCTGACAAAACCACAGGTGGAATTTCCACAAATAAGTATTTCAGTTGATTATTGGCAGCTCCCGGTAACTATTCAAAACGTATGCATATTCCATATACATATCTAAACTGAGCTCCAATTAGTGGAGATATTAACATACGTACAATGTATACTATAGATATTATGAAGTTAAACCCTATGCAAAATTTTCGATAGCTGGGCGAGAAAAAGTTGATTGTCATAGTAATAACACAGATATTTTCGAAGAAGACGCAACTCTTCTACATTATTTCATTTCGTGAACATAGTTTAAGCCTTCTTTACACAATTATAAAAAAAGCGTTGGATCCAAAAATCTGCTCCTGAATATTATTTAAACATTTTCGCCTTTATACACATTTCATGAAATCTCAGCCCATCAGATTAAAAGGGTGATAAGTTTTTCGTTTCGAATGATACTTTAGAGTGAAGATAAATAACGTCTTGATTAACAAATAAACATTAGTGTCGCCTTCTTTGGTTGAATAACATTTGAATATACTGAATGTTCGAAGATAATTTAGGCGATGTAAAAAAAAACTGTTTCTGCCTTGAAATTCAAGAGGTATTACTTTTACCAACAAGTCTTACTGCTTAGCTGCAGTTGCCGTTGATTAACTTCAATTGCGGTCCAATTAAGTATAAGGGTGTTTGCTGGACCAATAGGAGAAAAACTTAACATCAACATTTCGATTTAGCTCTAATACTTATGAACGACTAAAACACTTTTCTGATATTTGTTTATTATATCCGCGATCGCAGCGCGATCTTTAATTTTAGACAAAAGTTTTCCAACAACTTATTTATGTTCGTACGTATGTAAGTAAAATTACGGTATTCATCTTCGATTCACCCCTCTGCTCACTGGGTTTGATCTTTGAGCTTTTGTAAAAATGAGAAATGCATGTGAAAGCAACAACAAAATCATCCATCTGAATTCAGTACAATATCACTTGCTATTCTCTCTTTATTAATTTATTCCAGTTGTTTGTTTGATTCGCAACTCTCCAAAGACCAAATAGTCAGTTTTACTAGGTAATATATTAAAAAAAATAAAAAAAAACATTAACTTCGGTTGCGCCGATGTTATAACACATATATATCTTCATATCTTCACATATATAAAAGATTACATACATGAATCTGATTTTGATGGGCCAGTTTGTAC